AGCAATCGTGTTTCTTTGCGGAGCAAAATACACGTTACTGTCCTAACTTAAAATGTTTTAAAATCGACTTAAATTGGAACAATGGAATTATTTTTCTTGCTGTTTTTTGCGAAACGAAATCTACTAATTGCGACCTAAATTTGACATGCAAACTAATGAATTTGCAACATCTATTTCAATTCACGTCTGTGGCAAATCCCCTATAACAAAGAGACATCGTTTACCTCTATCCGTCTTGTTAATATGATCTTTGAAGTGGCCCTTCATCACACGTGAGACGGATAAACCCTGGGGTCCGGACTGAACAATCCGATAATGCCACTATTTGTTGTAACAGACCCTACCGGTTCGTGGACTAAGAGAGTGAAATGGCCTCTAAGTGCCGGGTTAAATGTTTGCGAAGTTAAACTTGAATGTTAGGATTTATGAATATTATCCTTACTAATATTTTAAACTAGCTTTTACTTCCGACTTCGTCTATGTGAACGGGATATGTTGATAGACGGGGACAAACAGTAACTTATGTCTTTTTAATCCCATACAATACCAAATTTCATAGTGATTGATTGATGCCAAGATAACAAACTAACTCGCTTTCACATTTATAATATTTGTCAGTGTGAAAGTGTGTTTGTTTGTTACATCTTAATCCTTTAAATGCGGGGGGGGGGGGGGGGGATGGTTCGTAATGCGGACTACCAGTCCCACTGCTAGCAATATACCTCGTCAGGTTGACCTCCACGTGGTCTCGCCTGGAAACCATCGTGCTGATCAAAACCGATTTTCTCATTAATTTTTTCAATCCTTGGTGTTTGTCTCATTTTAATTTTGTGACGATTGGAACATTGAATTTTTTTTCAATGCGAATCTTTGCGAAATAAAAAACATTTATATCACTGGAAACTCCCTCATGACCTATGTCTTCGGCGAACCGTTGAAATTAAGTTAACACCTGCAGTAAAGTTCTATAGATGTACGAAATAACTGAATTTAAGGTTACTTCCCGCGAGGAGGGCTGTACTAGTTTCAATTTGTTTGTATAATTTAACTCAGGCGTAGCAGGGAAAAGTTAATATTAGATTACATCATATACTCGGGAGCAATGATCTGATACTTAGTATTTAACTAGCTAGGCCCGTGACTTTGTTCGCGCGACGTAAACATACAACTATTGATATATTAATAAACAACTAAAGTGTTCAGAATAGACCACGAATATATAGACACGAATGGCAATTATATTACATATTCCCCAAACAAAAAAATCGCAAATCTTCTAGAGTGGTTCTAGAGTAAAGGTTCTAGAGTGGGGATGGATATTCGGATCTCGTGACTTTATCTCGGTATTGCAGTCGTTTATAGGCTACGGTAACCGCTTACCATCAGGTGAGCCGTACGCCACCTCAATGGTATAAAAAAAATCTGAAATAGCAAACAATTTGACGGCCCATGGAAAGTGGCAACCTTTATCTATAGACATCAATAGCACCATGGATATCATAGCACACAATGTAATTACACGTTTCCGTTATCCCAAAGGTTAACTAGGAGAGAATGCTATATAGCATTTGCCTTTTGTACCAGACATTTATTTGTAATGTGATTATTAAAAAATAAATGAATAAACATACTATGGCACCCATGATACCCTCAAATCACTAACTCCCGAGCCAGTTTACTTTTGTAAACTTGATTCATAGTTTAAAATCCTAAATTAACCCAGCAGAAACTAGAATGTGGAATTTAAAATGATCGAGGAATAAAAATTTCAAATTATTTGTATACCTATCGTACGTTTACCGTTTCGAAAGAAATTACTATGGAAGTCTACATATGGCTGTTTGTCGTTTTCCTTTGCGTGACTTTCACCATAAAACCGACATGGATAACCACTCATGTCTAACAATCGCCCGCATACGGAAATCTTTACCTGTGACAAATAAATAAACACCAATTTGAAACCAATTTTGAGTAGTTACCTACTTTAGGCAATAGAGATGTTTATTACTAGTAGTAACGCGCAGCTTTACTTGCATCAACTGCGATAAAATGTATCGTATTTTTTAATATTACTACATGCTCTATCTCTGTGGTAAATTTAAAACTATTGACAGTTTTAAACGCAATCTTTATCAATATTATAATTGTTAAAGTGAGTTTGTTTGTTTGTTACCTTATAGCGTGTTAACGGCTTTACCAATCTCTATGAAATTGGGTATGCAGGTACTTGGGATAAAGAAGAATACTTTTTATCCCAGTCAGTAAATATATCCCGGTCACGCAGACGAAGTCGCGGGTGAAAGTTGGTTGAGTAATAAACATACATAATTAAATACTTATGGGACCAAGTCTTTACCCTCGGTAAACGGTTTCGATATAAAAAAGTCATAAAAATCGGATTAATATTGACGATGATATCGCGTAATAAAAAAAAAACACGTCAAATTTAATATTAACAAAATAAATTAAAAAAACTTTTTTTTTTTATTTTACTAGTACACAATAGAAGGGATGTAAAAACTCATTAAAAGTTCTGAGGTAAGATTAATGCGAAACGTCAAATGGTACATATTTTGAGTGCGATATATGGTTTCCATTCAAGGAGTGGGAAGGTAAGGACCTTCTGATGTCAGCCGTCGGAAACTTCTCGCCGAACAATGGGAGTAATAGGCATGCACGTATCTTGAGCGTAAGTTACAAGATCTAGCGTTTTTGCATGAACGGTTAGAAGGCGCGATTTAACGGGATACATAGTTTGTATGTGTGTGTACTTGTGTATGTTGACCAAATAGGCGATGTGCTGAAGAAGTGCTAAATTAAAAGTACCCGTAACCGGCGAACGTGAATGAAAAGATTGATGAATGTGGAGGAGGCGAGAGACGTCTGTTTGAATCGAGACATATGGTGTACCATTGTTTTTGTTTACTCTAATGGAAGACAGATGTGACAGATATGTGTTTATGTATGTATACTTTTGCTGTTTTATAATTATTATTTATCTATATTAGTATTATTGCTGTGTGGTCCCGGCATAGACTAGGCCACTCCTTACTTTCCCGTGGATGTCACAAAAGACTAAGAGAGGGTAAGGGAATGCAGCGACATCCCTCTTAAAACTTCTCTAGAGCCTAACTGCGATTGCTAACCCGCCTGTCAAGCGTGGCAACTACTGACAAAAGTGTTGAAGGCTGATATAATGATGATAATGATGATGTATACTTTGTACAAATGGGAAAAAAAAATTATTCATAGAAACGCCTAATGTCGTTAACTAAGTGTACTACAACTAAAAATTAAAAAGAAAAAATGCACATAGATGCGTAAAAATATTCCGTCCCTTAAAAAATAGCAACTTAAATTGTGATTAAATTAATATGGGACCAACAGGAGAATCCAAGGGATCGTCCTGTCAGTTGCAAAGTCGAATTCAAAATTGATTTATAATTGATGAAGCATAATTAATTACATATTTTAATATTTCAGCCGTTATCTGTCCACTGAACATAAGCCTTCCCCATTAGGGTGTTTTGCCAGTAGTTGCCACGCTTGGCAGGTGAGTTGGCAATCGTAGTTAGGCATTTAAAGATTTTTTAAGAGGGAAACTGCTTCCCCTCCTTCGACCTCTCTTAGTCGCCACTTACGATATTATAATTTATGAATTAATATATGATGAAACATAGTATACACAAAAAAAAAATACAAATCCTGAGAACCGGCTTCTTTTTTAAAATGTTTAAAAACCATAAACCTATTAAGCTACTTGTCAAGTTGAGTACCCATATTAAAGTATAATACAATTGCCACGGCAATAGTAGCGAATGAATGATGAAACAATTTTTTACATAATATTCTTAGTTTTTATGTCTTCCCGTTTATATATAATTTTTATTATTTTTAGTGCAGAATAAAGAGTTTTCATTTATATTATTATAAATACTTTCGACTATAAAATTAATTATCAAAAAGTTTTGAACTTGGGAAAAAATAACGTACAATAAAATAAATACGTTAAAAATTTAAGATGCGCACGTCATTCGAATTCATACACAAATTGTATTTATACATTTTCTGCTTGCTACTTAAATGAAGAGCCTATACAATGAGAAGGAAGGGAAGGACCTGATGTCAGTATCGTCGGATGCTTCGCACTAAACAATAGGAGTAATAGGTATGGGTTAGGACTTGCCTTAAACGTATAATCAGAGCGGTTTCGTCTTAACTGTAGGTGGATTAACCTGTATATTTACGTTTGATTAACATTGATATACGAAAAAACAAACCCAAAAAGTTATTTAAATTTATTTTCGGGACATATCGCGGTGCGATTACAGATAAAATGATAAATATTTTTGTTATGGTTAACGTCTAAACCTAAAATGCATAATCAAAGACTTATAAACGGGCTTGATAAATACTAGAGCAGACTTGACTAAATCATGCACTCATTTTTAACCATCCAATGTGTAAGTTTGTTGCCTAATGTGCAGAAATGTGCTTACAAATTTAGTAATATATTCGAACAATATAAAGAACGTGTATCGTCAATTATGAAATACAATATTATAGTGAACTATATTTTACAGATTTCTATACTTGTATATTGACAGTAATCCATATTTGGCTCGCTCCATTTGTGATGTAATTATGAATTCAAGTACGTGTAAATACAGTTTAATTCTATCAATATAATATATTCTAATTGATATTACGTATTAAAACTGAAAAAAATATAAAATAGCAAGCAAAAAATAGAAAAAATATTAAATAGATAGCATATTAAGTTAGCACCTTTCTCTTATACCTTGCACCAAATACCGAGCATGGCTGGTATGAGAGGTCCCCGACGAACTGTCGAGCTTTTCAAAGGACCCACAAGACGGAGACGCCCTTTGTTTGTTGGGAAACGGTTGTTATGTATGTAACACGCTATATGATAGCGTATCATGTACGAGTTTTATATTGTTATCATTTTTATTAATTATTCTAGATTTTCGACTCACCTGTCATCCTGCAAGTGCTTCAGCTCGCTCAATTCTAACTCTCTTCTCAAGTTAGACACTTCACAAAGTAGCATGTCTCGTTCCGCTGACACCTTCTCCAGTTCGGCCCGCAATCGGACCACCTCGTTGGTAAGATCCATTGTCGCCATTCCGACGACTATCGATCACTATAACAATCGACACAGCACATCACTAATCACGACGCGCGGCACGCCGACCAATCACACCCGCGCATTTAAATTTCGAATGGCACAAAACGTCACGCACGCGCCGTCAGTCGATAATAGGGAATGTAAATTGCGATGCTCGCAGATCACGGATTTTTTTATTTATTTCCGCGTTTCACTGTTTTCAACTCGCCGCTGAGCGTACGTCGGCATCTGAAACAATAAATCACTCTGTGAGAGAATGAAGCGAAAAGGAAAATCGCGCAGTCGGTATGAGAATCCGAAATATTCTGTTCATAAACTCCAGCAATAGGGCATATGAAGTTACAAGTATGAGAGCTATGATAACATAGGCATAAATAACTAGGATAGCCGTCTTTATTGGTTGTTTTATACAAACAGGCCATTATATCAGGCTCCTTCCTGTTGTGCCTAAGGGAAAACAAACATTAATTGTAAACGTAGGCAGAGTTGAACTGTTGTTGTTTAAGCACTATTCTAATCTCATTTCACTGCTTTAGAGGAAAACTTATGTAAGGACTTTAATACATTGTTATTTTGATATTACTGATACAAGCACTGAATTGTATCATGACGTTTGTTCACAATGGAAACTTGGTACAAATAACAGATTTCATTAAGGGTCATTTCTTTGACATTAAGCGTAAGGATTAATACAAAGCCACTGTTTAAATTAATCACTTGTATTAAAATCAAAAGGTCACTGGAATTTAATATCTTAGATAAGCGCAATGGTAGTCCATAAAAAATTCTGAGATTAAAAGCTACATTGACCATAGACGCAATAAAACTTAAATAAGGAAAAAAACGATTGAACTTAGGTTATAGAAAAAAAAATATAAATGTCAACTAGTGACAAAATCATGCACAATATATAGTAAAGATATTTCGTAGCGAACCCGCTTAACGATCGGCGTTTTAAAACTTTAAAAATGCTTCCGCGTTAGGCTTCTAGAATAATACCGTAAGGATCAAAACTGTTGTATGTCTTTTTTAAGCTTGACATATACGTCAACACAGCTTAACGAATCAAAGCATTTGAAGAGATTTCAACGAAATTTTATACTGCGTAAGTTATCAAAATCGGTTGAGTGAACCATAAGGTACTGTCACGAGCTTCAAAGCCGTATTCTTATCATTCAATTGCATTAAGTCACGTGGGAAGTTTTGATTTATTGACTAGTCATTGCGAAAAATTTTCTAGATGGTGTATTATCCAGTAAAGACAAGATATTTTTACGACTGTGAGAATACCTACCTACCGTGGGTAAAGGATTACCCACCCAGGATATTAATATAATACTATACTACAGCATTGTAAAGGCGACTAGAAGAACTTCGCACAGTACAGCATTGCAAAAAAAATGGTATGCCAAGCTACCTAATCAGTTTAACACTAATTATCTTTCTTCAATGAAGAGAGATTTTTCCCACCACTGGGACGGTAACAGATATTTATGTATTTATAAATTTTGATTACTATGTGGACAAAGCCAGGATACAGCTAGATAAGGTCACAGCTAGTCAACTTTATTAATCAGCGACCACTTCAAAACAATAATTCAGCATTAAAGCACTTCAGCAGATTGATTTTTGAAATTTATACCCTCACAGATCATTAAGTCACCGTGACTTTAAACAAACTTAGCTAAATTACCTAACAAGTTTGTAAATCGGCTCCAAGGCCTTCTGTTCAGTCGAGCCGGGAATTCTGATATTATGCCGCGTACAGACTGGCGCAATGTAACATGTATCATTCTGCCTTCCATTGTATATTAGCAATAAGCGTGGTCAAGACAACCAGACAAGGCATCCAGACTATGATAATTTGTTATAGTGTTACTTATTATAAGTAGACATAATATAGACGTCAAGTACGTGCATGAATAGATTCGCAGGTTTGTACCTCTGATGAATAACTAAGCTCTTCCAGGCCACATATTTGCTCCTACCTACAGTCTTGCAGTATTTAAACGGAGCGTGAAAAACGATCCTCAATACACTATACATTGCTGTGATTGCAACCCTCATATTAGGACTACATTACTTACCAGCAAGTTCGATGTTGTCATTATGACTAGTTACTATACAAAAAAAAAAAAAAAACAAAATAACAATTTGTTGTGCATAGTGCATTCAATTCCAAATTCAAATTCTTTAAACGCACGTTACATAGCATGTTATATTTCACAAGTCTGAACACGCTGTTATATAAATAACTATAGCATATCGGCCCGCCCGATCTAAGCCGCTGTCGTAACCAGCAAACCTGCTTTCCCGACACAATAGATCAAAAGAGGAAAGTCTTCCGAGAATATCTTCCCGGTGGGACGCATCTCTTTAAAAATGGTGGTTATCTGCAAGTTAAATTTTGGAATAGGACGATTGTCATTCTTCGAGATCCGTAAGCAAACTTAGAATACGTAGTTACACAATAATACATTTCCATTGATTAGAAATTAATTCATTAATTTTTTACAGTATAATTTGAGACCACAGAGGGCATATTTATATTTTATTAAGATGTATTATTTTCAATTCATTAATTTTTGTCAAAGGAATTTTGGAACAATACTAAACTACTGTAATTTTTTCCTATTTATTAATGATCTTAGAATACATTGTTACACAACAACTTTACAGCGTACCATATTAAGTACGTTATATAACAATGAGTAATGGACCCTAAGGCCCACTGAAAGTAAATAGCCATTATTTTGTAAAGTATATTCTTTCTACTGTATCATCATCTAATTTATGTTTATTACTACATCTTATTATTGATATATTTTTTTTAAATAAAATTAAACAATTGCCACTATTTGTAATTCATAAGTTTTAGAATATACTGTTACACTATAACACAGTGTAAGCATTAGAAGAATATATGAGTATGATATGTATAGGTACATATTTTCTTGCCACTGATGACATCTGTCAATTATCAACTTCATAAAGCGGATGATTGCAATCTGTCAACAGCAGTTAATTATAGAGACTCGCTAAAAAAGTAGTACAGTGAATTCATCCCAATCCAGATGTTACCACTTCACTTTGAGCTATATTTATTATAGTCTACGATATTAGCTTTCTGAAAATTATGACAGTTTAAACGAATGAGGAAGTCTTGAAAAGGGTAAATGAGAAAAGAACATTAATAAAAACAATAGATAAAAAAAGCAAAATACTGGGCCACCTTATACAACATGACGATTTTTTAAAGAGCATAGTAAAAGGGAAAATAAAGGACAAAAGGGGAAGAGGAAGACGGAGGAATAACTACATAGGACAGATAAAGGAAACATTAGGTGTCATGTCGTATAGGGAGATCAAAGATACTGCCTGATATAGAGCTGGTTTGAGTTGCACCGACAAGAGGAAACTCTTAAATGAAAAGAGAAGAAGCAAAAGATGAATGTACTTAAAGATAGAAGACGTTGGCACTTCGCTCTTTCGTTTATTTTGTAATGGTCCTCACGTAATTATATTATTATTCTGTAAGAAAACGTCTTAATCTTAGAAACGAAGTCATTGCTTAAATTATTATAATCTTCATAATCATTAAAATCAAATTTTAGATCATGACTGACATATAATACCTATGATTTAGTCCAACTCAGTACATTGATATAATAATTCTTTTGCGGACTCCCAAACATAACTGCAATAACACAAATAGCCGAAGAACAAATGATTCTCATTCAGCATATATCCAAGTAAAGCCAGTCGTACGAAATAATATATTCCCATAATCGTGCATAATATGTAATTCTAACTTCCATATAAATAACAATGCTAAGCGGAAGACCCATAATGTATGGAGTAGATTTGGAATAAATTACAAGCGAAAAGAACGGACTAGCAAATAGGTTTTGTCAGATATATCTATCTATATTATGATTTTTTTCATTGTTTATAGGCAACGGTTACTACTTTCGCGTCAGATGCGCGGTCAGCTTGTTTGCTGCACCCATCTTCAGTATAGGCGTCCTTTCCATATCTCTCCCTCTCTCTCTCTCTCTTATTGGTCGTTTATCTCTTGTCATTTGTATCTACGTTGTGTTGGTTTACCAGCAAAAGACATTTAATCACCTTTTAGGTAGTCGACTATAATCGCGTAAATAGAAATGTGTCTTTATCAGATTTACTCGAGAGTAAGGTGGTAATATTTCATGTAGATATATGTACGTAATCTAGGACGAAACCAATAGTATTAAAACAATCCCAAATTCAGCATGTATTCCTAAAACTGAATACCTAAATGTTTATAACATGTACATGTGGTAAAATACGAAAACAATTCTTGAAAGAATTTTTCATACAAAGCGAATCCAATTTTGTATCGCAACATTTATACTGTCTTGGGGAAAGTTAATCATAGTTATTACATCCCTATAAAAATGTAGACCTACATAACTGAATTCTAGATTTACAACGCAAAAAAATCTCGATCAATCCCATATAAACCAAATATGTAGAGCTTTTAAAAAGGAATAAATGAAATCGCGTATCGCTGGAAGTTGATTCCAAAGAATGGAAGAAATACGTACAATTTCTTGAACAATACTTTTAACTATCAGTTTATAACTTGCACCAAACACAGGCGTTGCCTTGGTCGCTCTTCACGGTTGAATCCAGTCAGTGAAAAATTACTTCATTAACCAATTATCATGGCGGTTGGAAATAATTATGCAGAGATCTATCCCATTGTAACGTTCTTATAGTTTGCATTGATTGTCATAATTAACCGTAATAACCACATTAACATCCCGGTATAGAAACACTACATTAATTAAATGGGACAAAGCCGCAGAAAACAGCCAGTTTACAATATTAGTAGTAGGTCGAAAGGGAGTATTAGTGATGGAGAGAATACCATTGCTAGCAATATACCCAACCAGGTCGACCTCCTCGCGGTTCTCCCTGGAAACTGTCATGGTTAATTCCTAATGAATTCATCATAATGGGCTAACTGACTTGTTTTCATTCTCATCTATCACCCTTCACTGGTGCTCCGCCAGCGTATCCCGTTAAAGCGGGCGGGGTTACCATACCATTTTCACCGATCAAAAAAAAAATTAGTAGTATACTGACCATATCCCGTAGTTGCACTCGCATACAAAAGTATTCTGTTTTATACCACGACACGGATCATCTGTATACCAAATTTAAATACAACATAGATTTAAATA